GTATTACGGTACGTACATTCTTAAAAACAACGATGACGATACAAACCATCACAGCCTTTCTTTTCATGATTTTGTGAAGGCGCAATCTGCATCGTCGTACTCAGCAATCACCTTCGTTCCGAAAACATYAAGTCGCTGCCGGTAGGTACTTGGTACAATGCCTTACAGACACAKGAATCCTTAAAGCAGCACAATCAAATCAGAACACAGCCTTGAATATTTTTGTCCGTACAGCACCAAAATCATGACGCCCACTCTCAATGAATCGGCTCGGACCGCTATTGCCGAAGCGAGACAGGAACAGGAGGAGTCGGACCTTCCCGAGGTCACCGACCCCCACTCTAACAACAACTCGGCAAATCAGCGTTCCATATCGACAGCCCGGAAGTTTCTTGCGACTGCATCACCCACATTTCTCGCCTCCGAGTGGTCGTCGGACGACGACCGGCTCGTGAAGGTGGGGCGGAGCCTGGAGGACCTTGTGGCCTCAGCCGACAAGAACGACGAAAAGGGGGAAGACATCCTGACCCACGCCTTGCGGAATGTAATCGATCAGAGCAATATCCTCGCCGACATGGGCGAATTCAAGGTGCCCAAAGTAAGATTTGGAAAAACCGGGATCGATATGCCCGTCCTAACTCTAGGGTGCATGMGATTTCAGCACACRTGGGACGGGACCTTTGAGACCTTCGACAAGGTCAACAAAGAGGGGCAGGAAAACCTKACGGAGACCATCTACCACGCCATCAAGAACCTGGGCATCAACCACATCGAAACCGCTCGGGGCTATGGGAGYAGTGAGCTTCAGATCGGACACGCCCTCAAGACAATTTTTGCGCGGGGSATCAAACGAGAAGACCTGTTAATCCAAACCAAGGTAAACTGCATGCCATCGAAGGACTTTCGTGCCACGCTAGAGAAAAGTTTCAAGACGCTTGGGGTTGACTACATCGATTTGTTCTCTTTCCACGGTGTCAACATGCCCTACGCCTACGAACAAATGTTCAACTACAAAGACAACGAAAACCTTATGGACATCGCCCTGGAGTACAAAKCSAAGGGTAAAATCAGACACATTGGATTCAGCACCCACGGCCAACCAGAACTCACCAAGCGTTGCATCGAGACGGACAAATTTGAGTACGTCAACCTCCACTACCACGCTTTTGGAAGCTACACTGCMAGTGGTGGAGGAAACTGCGGTGGCAACCTKGACAACGTCCGTCTTATGAARGAGAAGGACATGGGGGTGTTTATCATCAGCCCCTACGACAAGGGGGGTAGACTCTATGCACCCTCAAGAAAACTCCGCTCCTTAACCCTACCGGACCTCGAACCTATCCAGTATGGACCGCTGTGGTGCATGAGCCACGAGCACATCGACGCCGAACACGCTCCAATCCACACGATGACGATTGGTGCGGCCCGTCCCAGCGATCTCGACGAACCCTTCGTGACTGCGTACCTGTTTGCGAAGCGAAGAGACGAAATGGTGGCAAAAGTCGAGAACGTGGCGAAGAGATTGCGCGCTGCCGAGGTCGAGGCCCTCGGTGAGGATTGGGTACAAAACTGGCACAAAGGCCTCCGGAACTGCTTGACGATGGACGATGCCTATGAATTCGGACAGATCGTGTGGTGCTACAACCTCATCAAAGCCTTTGGAATGCTTGATTACGCGAAAGACCGATACGCAATGTTCGACAAGAACTACAAGAGCTGGGACTTTGAGCTGTCTACCAAGGAAAACATCAAGAAACTTTGGATTCCTTGGGGCTACTGTCCCGGCCTTGCGACCCCAGGGGATGGTAAAGTCGATTATGCGACTCTGCTCCCCGATGTTCCGGAAGAACGGAAAGCGAGGGTGCTTGATGCCATCAGTTTTGTTTATTCATACTGCTCRAAGGATAGCGCAACTGCAAAAGAGCTCACGGTTCCAGAGGAATGGGAGTGTGCATACGACATGCGTCCCTGGACAGCATTTCCCGAACGGGGYTAAACTAAGAATCTCTTTCGACAAACGGATKTTTAACACGCTTTCAATGCAAGTCAGAAGTACTCYTTTCAAGCACATGAAATCGTACTAAAGTAAAGTATCTGGGGTGATGAATTTACTATCGCCATACCACCACACTAAGTCCTCGATAGGTAGACAAATATATAGCGTACGAGGTATTTACGA